TTTGATAATGAAATTGTATTTTTAAAAAAAATTTATGTAACTTCCATTACTCTAATCAATTTATTTGAAAACACACACAAAATCAGTTTCAATTAGTATTTGTACGGGTTATAGAGACCCAGCTTGATCCGCTGGTAAAACCGGTCCGACCGGCGACCACAATCTTGTATTAAAGTCAATTTGAATTAGTCACCGGTCCAATGTTTATTATATTATCTTCTTTTTTTTTTTTAATCAAAAGATGTTCTGAATTCTGATCAATGGTGAATTTCGTCTCCCTCTCTTCTCTTTAACCTCAATACTCAGGTGAGGTCAGTTTCTTCCTCTCTCTATGATTTACGAATCTTCTTCTCTCAGATATTTCCATGTGTTTGATCTCCAATCAGTTTACGATTTTGGGTACGGCAACAAACAAAAAAAATTCACTTTCCCGAATCTATGATTGTCAAGAAATCTAGGGTTTTGATTGCTTCTAGTGAGATTGAGGAAGATGATAGGTTAGCTTCTTGGTGGGTTTTCTTTAGATAATTCCGTTTTGCTTCTATTGTCTTCTAATTCGATGTTTTCGACTAAAATCTTAAAGCTTGTGTTACTGTGTTTGGGGACTCAAAGAGTTAAGTTGGGTCTGTGGGATTCTGATTGTTTCAAGCAAGCTATATGATGTTTAGTGAAGTAATTAGCCTCTTGATAACTTATGGGTTTCTTTAGATTGCTTTTTGCTTGATCTAATCTGCTAAAATCTGATACTCATAGTACTGTGTTTGTGGTATTTTGTGTCTGTTTGATGAAGAAATCTTGGATTTTGATTGCTACTAGCAAGATTTAGGAAGCTTAGTCTAGTAATTAGCCTCTTGAAGTTAATATGTATGTTTCTTGAGATGATTCTTTTCTTCTTGATTTTGTTTTACCTGTGTGTTTGGGGGAGAGATTATAGTTTTTAACTTGTGTCTGTGTGGTCATTGATACAGAAAGGAAAGCTTTTGTTCTTTCGCTCTTTGTGTCGTGTACATAGATTGATTTGCTCTAAAGGTAAAAGATGATGGAGGTCAAACTATGGAATGACAAGCGCGAAAGAGAGATGTACGAGAATTTTGCAGAGCTTTTTGCGATCATCAAAGCCACAGAGAAGCTCGAGAAAGCTTATATCAGAGACTTAATCTCTCCTTCAGAGTACGAATCCGAATGCCAGAAACTCATCGTCCACTTCAAAACTCTTTCCGCTACACTCAAAGACACGGTCCCAAACATTGAACGATTTGCAGACACGTACAAAATGGACTGTCCAGCCGCTTTATACCGCCTCGTGACATCAGGTGTTCCAGCCACAGTGGAACACAGATCTACTGTAGCAGCATCTACATCGAACTCTGCAGCCATTGTTGCTGAATGTGTACAGAACTTCATCACGTCAATGGATTCATTGAAACTAAACATGGTCGCTGTTGATCAGGTTTATCCTCTGTTGTCTGATCTATCTGCTTCGCTTAACAAACTGAGTATTTTACCGCCGGATTTCGAAGGGAAGACGAAGATGAAAGAATGGATTTTGAGGTTGTCTAAGATGGGAGCAGCCGATGAGCTAACCGAGCAGCAGTCGAGGCAACTTCACTTTGATCTCGAGTCATCATATAACTCTTTCATGGCAGCTTTGCCTAAAGCTAGTAATTGAAACCAATGTAGGTTTGGCTTCTTGTTTTGTGTGTTTAAGACTAGTTTACACTTGCTTGTGTGTAAAGGAATCATACCATATTTTGGGTAAATGAAGTTTTTATCTAAACCAAATACAACCACAATTAATGTTAAAATGTGAAACTTGAAAAAAAAGACTCCTAAGATTTAAACATTTGTAAATATGTTATTATGATTATTAAATTGATGATCTACTCTTCTATTTTCAAAGAAAATAAAAACTAGTCAAACAAATCTAACCGGTTTTTATGGACGACCATCTAACAATGCACTGCTAATTATACTTCAAGTTGTATATATAAATCATCCTCATAAACAGAAATTTTAAGAATCAAACAACAAAACATATTTGTTGCGTAAGAATATATATCACAACAATGTCTTCATCACAGTTTGCTATCTTTTGCATTATCCTGGTTTTCTTATGTCCTCTTCATGAATGTATCCATATATATAGTTTCCTTTTTTCTAATCATTTTCAACATCACCATCGCAATCAATCGTACTCTCCAAAATTGTTTTTAGAATGGTTTATTTGTTTTTTTTATAGGTGGTAACTATTCGATATTTGATTGTCTTTATAAACAACTAATGACTAGGTTAGGTCCGGTGTTGTACACCGGTAAATAATATTTATAAAATAGTTTATTTGTGATTAAAAAATATGATTTTTATATAATAAGAACTATGTTGTTTTTTCCTACCGTATGCGGAGTGAAATGTCTATAATGAAAATTAGTATAGTCTTAGTTAAAACAATCAATTGTAGTTATTGCATAATTTTGTTTTTGTCAACTAAGGCCAAAATTATTATAATAAATCTGAGATATGTTTGTCTATATCCGAATTTGCGATTGTTTTTGTATATGAATGTGTTTCACCAAGGGATAGACAAACTATATAAATCAAACCAAATCAAAATTGAATAATCTAAACGTGAACCGGAATATATAATAGTCTGAATGGATACATAAATTAGTATACTAAATTACCACAACCTAATTCAAATTATACGAAATCGAACCGAAATAATTGAACTAACCGAAAATTGCTAAAGAATATTACTTTGTTTATGTATTTTATTCAATTTTGTTAAGTGATTAGGTAAGTTTTATCTCATAGTCATTTGATTTATCGTATTTTAAATTATATTTATAATTTTCATAACTTAATGTTTAATCAATTTCAAAAATGTTAGGAAATTCAATTTTCAGATTTAATATTGTAATTTTTTCAATAGTTGTTTTTGACAAGTTTAGAAATAGTCAAATGTGTTTGACAAGTTGAGTTAGAATATTTGAAATAAGTAATGTTTGGAAATAAATGTGTTTAGTAATAGGTATAAGAAAATTAAATAAATGAAAAATAAAAAGGGTGAGAAAAATTGTGGGAGGATATATCATCAAAATTGGTTATAATGTTTCTTTCTTTAATATATAATTGATATTTAATTTAATAAACTAATGATATCTAATTGTTTTCAATAAAAGTCAAATGCCAATTCTAACTAGAACAATAAAAAAACTCATAATATTTAATTATTTCATTACAATTGATTGTTTAACTAAAACTATACTAATTATGCCACAATTAAAATCGCATAATTATGCTTGAAAAATATTTTTCATTTTTCTTTATTTTATGTAATTCATT